ACAAGTCTTTTTATTAAAAAGTATTTTTATCTATAAGTATTTTTATCTGAAAGAATTTTTATCTACAAGTATTTTTATCTATAAGTATTTCCAGCTAAAAGTATTTTTATCCAAAAGTATTTTTATCTATAAGTATTTTTATCTGAAAGAATTTTTATCTACAAGTATTTTTATCTAAAAGTATTTCCAACTATAAGTATTTTTATCTGAAAGAATTTTTATCTACAAGTATTTTTATCTAAAAGTATTTTTACCTAAAAGTATTTTTATCTATAAGTATTTTTTTATCCAAAAGTATTTTTATCTAAATAAATTTTTATCTACAAGTCTTTTTATTCAAAAGTATTTTTATCTATAAGTATTTTTATCTGAAAGAATTTTTATCTACAAGTATTTTTATCTATAAGTATTTCCAGCTAAAAGTATTTTTATCTAAAAGTATTTCCAGCTAAAAGTATTTTTACCTAAAAGTATTTTTATCGATAAGTATTTTTTTTATCCAAAAGTATTTTTATCTGAAAGAATTTTTATCTACAAGTATGTTTATCTAAAAGTATTTCCAACTATAAGTATTTTTATCTGAAAGAATTTTTATCTACAAGTATTTTTATCTAAAAGTATTTCCAGCTAAAAGTATTTCCAGCTAAAAGTATTTTTATCTATAAGTATTTTTATCTGAAAGAATTTTTATCTACAAGTACTTTTATCTAAAAGTATTTCTAGCTAAAAGTATTTTTATCCAAAACTTTTTTTTTTTTTTTTACTAAAAGTATTTTTACCCTATAAGAATTTTAAGATAAAAATATTTTTAATTAAAAGTAATTTTAGATAAAGATATTTTTAAATAAAATTATCGGTTGCAAATATTTAAAATAAAAATTCACTAGAGTTTCGACTTGGAAGTAACATTCCTAATTTGTGCCATGAATGAAAACACGCCTACTAGATGGTTCGCAGTAATTTCATTGGCTACTCGTCAAGGTCATGGAACGACAGCCAATCAACGTTACATGACCTTGAAAACTAGCCAATAAAATAATTGTAAGTCCCATTCGACTCTAAAGGCACAATTTTTTTTTTTCAATCACTCAAATGTTACTAAATTTTTATTTTTAAAATTATTTAATAATTTACAATTATTTTTCATCATTAAATTTATTAAATTATTAAATAATAATTAATAATAATAGATAATAATAATTATTATTAAATTAGTCAATTATAATACTAATTATTAATATTAAATAAAGTTTGGTGAATATTTAAAAATGAAAAATAAAATGTAATATATAAAAATATTGAAACGAGAAAAATATAAATCATTTAAACTAGTAAATTTTATTCATCACAAATTTTCTTTTTCACATTTCAATTATATATATATATATATACACACCCGCACATTTCTTGGAGAACGAAGCTTATTACTTTTAACTTTTCAGTTGGGCGACCTTCCCTTCCCTTTGAATATTCTTTTTAATAGAAAGAGAGAGAGAGAGAGAAAAAAAGAGAGGGAGTAAAAAAAAAAGTTTTCTCACTAAATACAACTTTCATATAATAAAAAGTTTGTTGCGCTATTTAGCGATCGCTGAATATTCGCGAGTAATTTTTTATTTTTCTTCTCTTTTATCTCAGATGTATTATCAATATTATAAATATAAATCTCTTGACTTACTTTTTTTTTTTTTTTTTTTTTTTTTCTTATTTTCCTTCATTTATTGTCTCTGATTTTATTTCATGTTGTCGATTTTATAAAAAGAAAAAAAAATATCACTAACTTAAATTAAAGAAATCATTTTTGCAATAATAAATATTTCATGCAGAGATAAATTTTTACTGTTGTTTCTTTTTTAGAAAAAAAAAAATGAAAAACAATCTAATTATTGATAAATTATTTTTTTCAAAATTATTTTCAATTTTTTTTCTCTCTCTTTCTTTTTTTTCTTTAAAAAAAATAAAAATCTATATATGATTAAATTAGGAAGGAAAATTTATGGTAAATGATGATGTCCAGAGGATTATAAATCTACGTTATACGAGAGGATGAAATGAAGAGCTTATTAAAAAGGAAAGCCGAGAGTGAAAGGAAGTTTTGGATTCGTAATTTTTGTTACGCGGATAAAATGGGACGAAAAAAAATTCTCAGGACCCTTTTTTTTTAGAGGGTTTTTCAAATTTATAGCCTAAATATTATGCATATGGTTCAATATTATTCTATATATTTATTGCTCCCAAGAAAGAATAAAAAAAATTTTTTTTTTCTTTTCTAAAAGAATTTTACTTTTACTCAATTTGTTAAACAATAAAATATAAATAATACATTATGAAAATTTTGAAATTAAATTAATAAATTGAATTGATAATGAAAATAAAATTTTTCTGATTGTTATTTGAGTATAAAATATTTTTAAAATAGTATTAAAAATTAAGAAAAGGATACATTTTTTTTAAAAAGTATATAAAATTTAACAAAATGTATCAAAAATTTAAGAAAACGAATAAAAAATTTGAAAAAACCTACACAAAATTAAAAAAAAGTATTCAAAATTTTTATTAAAAAGTATTCAAAATTTAAAAAAAGTATCCAAAATTAGAAAAAAGTATTTAAAAATTAAAAAAAAAATATTTAAAATTTTTAAAAAAGAATCCAAAATTTAAAAAAAAATATCAAAAATTAGAACAAAGTATTAAAAAATTTTAAAAAGTATAAAAAAAATTTAAAAAAATATCAAAAATTTAAAAAAAAGTATCCAAAATTTTAAAAAAAGTATTCAAAATTAAAAAAAGGATCCGAAATTTTAAGAACAGTATCAAAAATTAGAAAAAGTATTTAAAATAGTAAATAAGTATCCAATATTTAAAAAAATGTATAAAAAAATTTTTTAAATTGAAAAAAAGTATACAAAATTTAAAAAAAAGTAACCAAAATTAAAAAAAAGGATTCCAAATTACAATAAAGTATCCGAAATTTTAAGAAAAGTATTAAAAATTAAAAAAAAAGTTTTTAAAATTTAAAACAAATATCCAAAATTTAAAAAAATGTATAAAAAATTTTTTTAAATTAAAAAAAAGTATATAAAAGATTAAAAAAAGTATTCAAAATTCAAAAAAAGTATAAAAAATGTCAAAAACAATATTCAAAATTTAAAAAAGTGCCAAAAATTAAAAAAAAGTATTCAAAATTTGAAAAAAGTATCCAAAATTTCAACAAAAAAAATTAAAAAATTAAAAAAAAGTTTATAAAATTAAAAAAATGTTTATAAAATTAAAAAAAAGTATATAAAATTTTTTTAAAAAATAAATAAAATTAAAAAAAAGTATTTAAAAGTTCAAATAAGTATCCAAAATTTAAAAAAATGTATAAAAAAATTTTTTAAATTAAAAAAAGTATATAAAAGATTAAAAAAAGTATTCAAAATTTAAAAAAAGTATAAAAAATGTCAAAAACAGTATTCAAAATTTTAAAAAAAGTATTCAAAATTTTAAAAAAGTATCCAAAATTTCAAAAAAAATTTTTAAAATTAAAAAAAAGCATTTACAATTTAAAATAAGTATCCAAAATTTAAAAAAATGTTTAAAAATATTTTTTAAATTAAAAAAAAGTATATAAAAGATTAAAAAAAGTATTCAAAATTTAAAAAAAGTATAAAAAATGTCAAAAACAGTATTCAAAATTTTAAAAAAAGTGCCAAAAATTAAAAAAAAGTATTCAAAATTTGAAAAAAGTATCCAAAATTTCAAAAAAAAATTTTTAAATTAAAAAAAAGTATTTACAATTTAAAATAAGTAGCCAAAATTTAAAAAAATGTATAAAAAAATTTTTTAAATTAAAAAAAAGTATATAAAAGATTAAAAAAAGTATTCAAAATTTAAAAAAAGTATAAAAAATGTCAAAAACAGTATTCAAAATTTTAAAAAAAGTGCCAAAAATTAAAAAAAAGTATTCAAAATTTGAAAAAAGTATACAAAATTTCAAAAAAAAATTTTAAAATTAAAAAAAAGTGCCAAAAATTAAAAAAAAGTGTCCAAAATTTAAAGAAAAGTACCAAAAATTAAAAAAAAATATTTACAATTTAAAATAAGTAGCCAAAATTTAAAAAAATGTATAAAAAAATTTTTTAAATTAAAAAAAAGTATATAAAAGATTAAAAAAAGTATTCAAAATTTAAAAAAAGTATAAAAAATGTCAAAAACAGTATTCAAAATTTTAAAAAAAGTGCCAAAAATTAAAAAAAAGTATTCAAAATTTGAAAAAAGTATCCAAAATTTCAAAAAAAAATTTTTAAATTAAAAAAAAGTGCCAAAAATTAAAAAAAAAGTGTCCAAAATTTAAAGAAAAGTATCAAAAATTAAAAAAAAGTATTTAAAATTTAAAATAAGTATCCAAAATTTAAAAAAATGTATAAAAAAATTTTTTAAATTAAAAAAAAAGTATATAAAAGATTAAAAAAAGTATTCAAAATTTAAAAAAAGTGTAAAAAATGTCAAAAACGGTATTCAAAATTTTAAAAAAAGTGCCAAATATTAAAAAAAAAGTATTCAAAATTTAAAATAAGTATCCAAAATTTAAAAAAATAGATAAAAAAAATTTTTAAATGAAAAAAAAGTATATAAAAGTTTTAAAAAAGTATAAAAAATTTAAAAAAAGTATAAAAAATGTGAAAAACAGTATTCAAAATTTTAAAAAAAGTGCCAAAATATAAAAAAAAGTTTTTAAAATTTAAAAAAAGTATCCAAAATTTCAAAAAAAAATTATAAATTAAAAAAAAGTTTTAAAATCATAAAAAAGTATATAAAATTTTTAAAAAAGTATCAACAATGTCAAAAACAGTATTCAAAATTTAAAAAAACTATCAAAAATTTAAAAAAAAGTATTCCAAATTTTTATATATTATGAATTATAAAAATTTTCCAAATTTTTACAATTGAACATTTTTTCTAAAAAAATTAATTTTCTAAATTAAAAATATTTCGAATAATTACATAAAAAAAATTCTTACTTTTGTCCTGTATCTACGATTGAAGCCATGAAAATTCTTGTCACTTTTTTTTTTTGTTAAATGTTGGTAATTTTTTTTTTTTTTAATTTCAGGGGTCACGAATACATTTTTTGCAAATAATCCGTTATTTTTGTGACAATCGAGAAAAATATTTTCATCAAATTGTCAGACATTGGGGAAAAAGTAAATGAAATTACATTTCCGCTTGTTCACTTGTGTCATATATATATATAGAAATATCTTATTGTCTGATATAAAAGTCGTGTAATTTAAAGAAAAAAAAAAAAAAAATTGTCACGTTGTTATTTTTTTTTCTACCCAAACAATATAAATTTCACGCGAGTTTTGCGGTATGAAATATATATTCTTCCTATTTCAAATCCTGAGGCACCTTTACGAGTTTTATTTGCTCAACAATATATATATACATATAACGACACTTTGCTTTACTCTTATATTAAGTATCGTAAAATATTACGAGTTACACTTTATTTATTTATTTTTTTTTATATCGTTCAAACATTTTTACGAATCAAATTCACATTTACTTTTTAAAACATATTTCTTGTCTCCTTTTTTTTTATGTGATAATAATAGTAGGGGAAAAAATTATCTGCGAATAAATTTGCTTTTTTTTTTTTTTTTGAAGAGAACAATTTTTTTTTTTTACAGAAATTTAATTCGAGAAAATTAAAAAATAAAATTTATATACAAAGAAATTGTTTTCAAATAAAGGTAATTTAAATATTTAAATAATTAGTTATTTTAATAATTAATAATAATTAAAATATTTACAAATTTTTTGAAAAAGTAAAAAAAGGAAACTTATTCCAAAATTTTTATTCTAAACGTCCAAAAAAAAAGAATTTGGAAACAAAAAAATAAAATAATATTTCTAAATATAAAAAATAGTAAAAATTTTTATTTTTTATTCGAATATTAAATTTTCAAACCTGCAGTTTTTTTTTTAAATTTTGTTTGAGAATTTTTCCAAAGGTTTTTTTTTTTAAAAAGCAAATTTAAAAAAAAAATATTTATAGTGTCATAAAATTTGGAAAAAAAATTTTCGTTTTTTTTTTTTTTAATTAAAAATTTCGGTTTTAAAAAAAATTATTATTTTTTTTTTTTATTAAAATCAGTTTTTCACAAAGTGTCGCGTGCGGGTACCAAATTTACCCCGAAAAGCACGTGGCGGTGCCACGACGCGCACTGGCGGTAGATTTCTACAAGGACAGCTGACGAGTGATAGCTGCTACCACCCCCTGCCCCCAAACAACCCCTACCCCCACCCCATACACTATATTTTCAAACACCCTCCCATATATCATATATATATATTCCTTCGATTTATAACTTTTTCTTTTATTTTTATTTGCATTAATTTTTTTTTATTTTTATTATAATATTCATATTTCAGTTTTGGTTAAAATTTTTTTTTTTTTTGGTTTTGAAATACTAAGTAATTTTTGTAGAATATTAAATAAAAAAAATATATATATATAAAAGTGAAAAATTATTTTTTTTGGGATTTAAAAAATTTTTTTTTTTGCTTTGTCCTGCATAAATCTATTTTTGGTTTAAAAAAAAATCATAATTCCGGTACGCAACCACGAATATTAAATATTTAATTTTTTCGAGAAAAATTTATATATATATATATATAGAAAATAGCAGTGAAAGATTTCGTAATATTGCAACTTTTGCGAAACACTCGTTTGAAAAGAAGTTTTTAAAGAAATCTCCTTTTTATCCGCAAGATATAAATATCAGTTAAGAAAAGAAGTGTGAAAAGTATTTTTCTGCTTGAAATGTTTTGAGAGAATGCTTCTTGCATCTGAAATGAAGGAAAGAAAAAAAAAAATAAAATTTTAGAATGTTTCCATATTCTCGGTACAAAAATTTATTCTCTTGTATCGAGTTTAAGACGGCTTCTTTTTTTTTTTGTCAAAAATATGATTTATTAAAAAAATTTAATTTTAATATATTAATTTAAAATAAGAAAAAAAAGAAAAAATTATAAACGGAATTTAAAAATAGAAAATTTTAAATTTAAATCAAGGTAAAAAAAAAATTCTAATTTTCTTAATTTAAAAAAAATTTGTTTTTTCAAAAAAAATTTTTCAAATTATTTATTTTTTCAAAAATATATCCTAAACAATGAATATATATATTTTGTAAGTAATTCATCATATTCCACGCCCAAATCATGTTCCTTTTCTATTCTTGGGCTTTAATTTGAAGTTTATGTGTGGATTTTAATAACCCAATTCGGTCTCAACCTAATATCAATAATCCCATTATAGTGAACGAGAGAGGGGAAACTCTAGGGAGTCCAAAGATTTCAAGCATCTAATGCAGTGTCAACAATGGATCTTTTCAAAAACTTCTTCAAGAGTCAAGAAAGCATTATATTCATTTTTAAAGATTTTCTCAAGATCATCATTTTACGAACAGAGAGTAGTCTTCTCTTCCAAGAGAGAAAAAAAACATAATAATAATTATTATAATAAGAAAAAAAAAGACATCGTCAAAAGAAAATTAGTATGCGTCCACATTTTCCAATACATCAAATATTTTTTTAATCAATAAAACCCAGATAGCACGGAAACTTGCAGCAAGCTTGCGGCAAGCTTGCGAAATGTCCCACCCAGGGTAAGCTTGCCGTGAAAGCTTGCTGTAAGCTTTCCAGGAAAGGTTGCTGCAATCTTGCCATGAAAGATTGCTACAAGATTGCTGCAAGCATACTAAGAATGATTGCGGCAAGCTTGCCGTGAAAGATTGCTGTAAGCTTTCCAGGAAAGGTTACTGCAATCTTGCCATGAAAGATTGCGGCAAGCTTGCCGTGAAAGATTGCTGTAAGCTTGCAGGAGAATTTCAACAAGCTTCTGGAAAGGTTGCTGCAAGATTGCTGCAATTTGGAAACTTAATGAGAAAATTTTCGAAACAAATTTGAGGGGACTGGGAATTGAACCCGGGTTCGACAGACACTAACCAAAGACTCTAACCGAGAACCTATACTCGACCAACTATCAGAGAATAAAAAAATCTTGCTCTTAACCCTCGACTGTTTTTATGAGTTGAAAAACAGTTGAAAAACGGCGGGCTTTTTTAAAATGCTTTTAAATAGAAATTTTGTGTTTTCTATTTAATTTGTTAATTAATCAATGTTATTATTGTTATTATATTTTATGAAATTTATTTAAAATATGAAAATACTTATTGAAAAGATGAATAAAATTTTTTAAATGTATTTTAAACATTTGTTAATTTAATAATAATAATATTTATATACTTATTATATACTTACTTTATTTATCATTTTAATTTCTAGTATTAATTGCCGTTATTTTTTCAATATACCATAATTTTTAACTAATTAAATTAATTTTTTATATTTTTTTTTAAATATTTTTAATTTTTTTTTTTGTAATTAATTTTTGAATTTTATATTTTTGGTTTTTTTATTTTATTTATTATTATAGGTTTTATTATATTTTTTATTTATTTTTTTATTATTGTTTTATTTATTATTAATTATTTATTATATTTTTATTATAATATTTTATTATACATATATACAAAATAATACCAAAAAATAAATTAAAAATATTTAAAAAAACATTGATTAATTAACAAATAAAATAGAAAACACAAAATTTCTATTTAAAAGCATTTTGAAAAAGCCCGCCGTTTTTCAACTGTTTTTCAACTCATAAAAACTCATAAAAACAGCTCAGACAAGCTTGCTGCAAGTTTCCGTGCTATCTGGAAAATTATTTTCCAATTTTAATAGCGGGGAATTTTTATAATTGTATTTACTGTGACTTTTTTTTTACAAAATTTGGAGGTTATGTTTCCATCTCGTTCAGTGACCTTGAAATTTGCTTTTCAATTTTGAGGTTATGTATTCTATGTTACTTTTTACTTTTGAGGTTATGTCAGCAGGCGGTTTTTATTTTTATAACAAAATAAAACGTGATTTTCTTACTGTGATAAGTGTTACTATTTTTGGTAACGGTAACGCTATAGCTATAATTTTGTTTGAAACATATGTCAAGGGGTTAAAAAATCACAGAATATGGACCGCGCGCGCTTTTATAAGAAAAGAGTCAAAAGAGACACAAGATGAAAGATATGCCAGGGTTTCTTTTTTTTTTTTTTTTGTCGCATTAAAATGACTTTGACGATCGAGAGGGAATAGAAAAAAAAGAAGAAGGAAGAAAGAGGACAGAGGTTACTTGGAGAAATTCGGTATGAAGTACATGCTTGAATCCAGCTCTATCAGCGATATTCAGAAGCTTCTTTTTCACCCTCCTCTCCCCTCTCCCATCATCCTCTTTTACTCCTCATTGAGTGACGCTTTTTTCTCACCATTTACTTCTTCGTTCCCCTGCTTTTTTTCTAATTCTAAAATTTTAATAATTATTTCTTTCTATTAAGCAATAAAAAAATAAAATTATTTTTTTTATTTTTTTTTCTCTTTTATGATATGGTAATAATAAATAGTTTTTTTTTGTTTGAAGCAATAAAGTAGAAGTGACAAAATTAAAAATCTACTCTGCTTTATTATCTGCCGATAATGTAGATTTCGCCGAAACATTACCATTAGTTAATAATTTTTTTTTATGTTGGTACTCCTACATAAAATCTCTAGCAGACGAAAAAATTTCTCCGAATGTTGTCGCCTCATTTTGTGGCAAAGTGACACGAATTATTTATTGTAAATTTACAAACAAAAAATTCAGATTAATTTCTAGGCTAAATATTTCTAAAAATATATAATAATTATATTATTATTATATATAATTATAATTTTTATTATTTTTTTATTTAAAATTATTAAATGAGAGTGGAAATCCATATTGGTGAGTTTGAGGTTATGTTTATCAATTTAATTTAATTTAATTTTGGTCTCTGTTTTTAAAGCAAAAAAATCTAATGAATTCCTCTCTCTCTCTCTTATATTCAATGAAAATGGCGCATAAAGGCGCTCTCATACCTTTTTGGCTGCCTGCAGGTTACCATGGCAACGCACGAGTGTGAGTGCGACAGAAAATTTAAGAATAGGAATATTCAAATTTTCTGTCTCACTCACACTCGTGCGTTACCATGGTAACCTGCAGGCAGGCAGCCAAAAAGGTGTGAGAGTGCGCAATAACATTGTCTCTCTTCACGTAACGGTATTGCTTCTTTCTCTTTCGAAAATAAATAACGTCTTTCTTTACCTAATTTGCATATTTACTCGTTTCATATAGTAAGAAAAATATCTATTTCAATCCAATTCGAGTCGTTTTTTTCCTCCAAATCTAGTCTATAATTTATTTTTACTACCTCAATTTTTAAAATTTTCCCAAAACCTAACCTCAAAATTATTCATCTTTTTCAGTTATTTCTTTTTCCTGCAACTAACGTTCGTAAATCGCAAATCCTTTTCATTTTCAAAATATCACGTTCCCGCAAAGAAACCAATTAATAATAATGTATTTTCCCTTCGCAGTGACTTACTACAATTTGTATTAAAGTCGCCGAAAAATTCGCGGACACTGCGGTATAATCGAATACCGGATGTAATGTGACAAGTGTCTGTGACATCGTCTAGGGTCGCGTATATTCATCATATC